GATTTTTATTGGGGAATTGGGGGATGGGAACAGCGCTGGGGAATTGGGGAAGGGGAACAGACAAGTTGCTGTCGTTTTGTTCTTCAGTCTAGTTGAGGAGGACATTGCTTCACTGGCCCAAGTTGGCACCATCATTGTGCTCTTCCCGGGTGAGGCATATCAGTCGCTATAGAGCCCATATTTTTAACCACTATATTAGTCAGAGAGAAATCCATCGAAATGTTCACTGTCTTTGGTGGTGGTTTATTTTCTCCTCTATTCTCCAGGTTTTCTATATGGATTTACTATAGGAGTTGAATGATACATTTTTGAAAAGGGTAGAAGGTGGAGTGGTGAAATTTGAAGGATAAACGTGTGCTTTAAAACAAAAGAATTCACCCCACTTCCTTTTCCACTTTTCTAAATTTTCCAGGACTGATGACCACCCCAATTCTGCAGACCACTGTGACCCTGTCCCCAGAAGCTGAAGCCAGCACAGCACTCATCGCAGGTAACAAAAGCTCTGAGCCAAAACCAAGGGACCTTCTGAGTTCAGGGGCCATCTTGCTCCAGACAGCCGGGAACCCAGTGTGATAAACTAGGATTTTCCCTAAACAAGAAAGCACCACAAATTAGAGACCAGATCCATGAATGGGCTCTTTTTGGCATGTAGGTTATCTTACATATACTCACAAGGCTCTGACAGACTCTTTGGGGCTTCTGTTAGAGGCACTGCCAATAATGATAGGTTGGGAGGTGGCCACGAATAGATACAGGTACATATGGCCACTACACTCCAGTACGTGGGTAGGGTTGAGGGTATGTGTGGTTTGTCAAGTGGGTGAGCAAGAGGATGGGAAGGAGCAGAGAGCCCCCTATAGGAGGTTATGGATTTAAAAAGCCCTTCCTGTTGGAGTAAGCTATTTCCTGTTTGGCTTCTTCCTGTTTTGTTTTGTTTTGTATCATAATCAGGAACTGGTGGAGAGGGAGTTCAGTTTTGTCAGAAATCAAAAAGCCTTGTGTCCTTAGTGAGTAGATACCACGTCCCATAGAAGATGGGCTTGGTGGGGGAATATGGATTTGGAAGAGGATACTAATTAATAGAACAGGAGGATCCTTATGAAAAGGGAGGGAATTGTCTAATTCAGGAGGCCCTGTGAATTACTGAGACATCCTCAATCCTGAAACATCTCTACATTTTCCCTCTCCTTTCCAAGTTGTTATCACCGTGGTCTTCCTCACCCTGCTCTCAGTCGTGATCTTGATCTTCTTTTACCTGTACAAGAACAAAGGCAGCTACGTCACCTATGAACCTGCAGAAGGAGAGCCCAGCACCATTCTTCAGATGGAGAGTGACTCAGCCAAGGGCAGGGAGAAGAACGAATATTTCATCTAATGATTCCCGGGCCCCCAGGAGCTTATCCAGGCTCCAGTGCTAACACACTATTTATTAGATGCAAGTTTTATCTGAAACCGTGAGAAGCATTGATTGATATGGGCAAACCCGAGCTCCTTTCAGGACACAGGCCCAAATCCAACACCACTGACACCAGGGACACTGAGACAGCTGCTTATGGTCTTAGCCAGGCCTTTGTAATACACCAATGTTTGTGATTGACCGACAAAGTGGAGCAATACCAGGCAACATTTGAGTATGTGCCCAGTCATCTTCAGTTTTTTCACAGGTCAAAGGGGAGACGACAGTTAAGGTCACCTAATGACAGCACCAGTGGAGACAGAATGCATAGTTCTTCCCAGAGGCTGGATACCACAGTAAAAGGCCAGGCCAGGAGGAGTAGGAGACTAGAGACCTTACCTCCTGATGAACGTGCAACATCCCTTAATCTGAGCCCTTCCTTTCCATATTCTCCAAGAACCTTATACTTAATGCTATTTTTATCAGAATTAAAATTTTTGATCCAGAAATCAGATTCTCGTGTGTAAGAAGTAACTACCTTTATTGACTTATCCCTGCTTAAACTTTTTTGACATTTTCTTTTGCTTAACTCCTTTGCATATGTTCTCTCCCAGGCAAAAAGAACCCCAGGGAAGTTTCGGAAGTTCCCAGAACAATCTCAGGTTTGAAACAAAGATGGTCTGGGACACTTGTCCCAGAGGAGTGTTATTAGAAACATACCCTGGGAGATGGATTGGTTTAGCCTCCGTCTTGCCAAGGACCACTTTCCCAGAAACCATTCTCTGTATACACAGAGGGACCAGGAACAGTCTACCTACCACTTTCCCACCAGTGTCCTTTGAATCAAGCCCAGAGAAGCTTCTTGGATCTGTCTCTGAATAAGGTTTGTTTAAATGGCACAATTGTTTTCGTGGAAATCATTAGCTCCCCCAATATTAACTTGGGAATTAAGCTAGCTATTCTTTGAGGTCTCACCGGTATTGTCTCCATTGTCCAAGCTCAAGTCTACGCAAGGTTAAGACCCAAGAGCTGAGGAATCAATCTTAAGCAACCTCGATTCCAGGAGTTTTCAGTATTTCTCCACACAGAATTTTGGAGAAATTGAAGGTCACCCTAAACTTAACAAATTATTATACTAAAACATCTTCCTCAAGTCAAACTTTAGGGCAAAATAGGAAATCAGTTGTTCCTTTATTTCTAAGTTTATGTTCTGAATTCCTCTGGCATAATAGACTTGTAAGAATCTGAAAGAACTTAGGTAGAAAAATGAAGTTAAACATCTAGAATGAAACTCATGAAAATGGTTCAATCTTAGCCTTGTCCTCCTGCATTTATTTCAAAGACTTCACTAAAAAAAAAGGATGGCAGCAGCACCTATCCAAATTCTAGGTGGGATACAAAAGAAGACATAAACAGAAGAAATCTAAAAACAAGCCGAGTAAAGAATCCTTGAAGTGAGGTGTAATGCAACTTCATCACTTTATTCAAATCTTCAAAATAGTCTTTATTCTACATTTTTAGTATAAAAAAATCCACAAGTTAAGTGCACCACAGTGTAGAGAGAGACATACAACGCTGAACTTCCATAACAGTCAATGGTACAGTCAAACATCACATGTACAGAACATAAAATTTAGATGAACTGAAATTATAAAATAAAATCCAATTGCCGAAAACAAAAATCAAAATATTACGGATCCCTGAAATATTCTTAACCCTAATGAGATTTCACTGGGCTCAAGTCATTTTGTAGTGAGGCAATCACAATATCACCCCATAAACCCAGCTTAGGAGTTCTGGGGAACCATGAGTGGCTGCATAAGATGCTCGGACAGAAAAAGGTAACCCATTTTTTTATCTGAAAATTCCCCTTAATTTGGCTCTAAAGTCACCAGGCTTGTGAAATGCATACCCCCCCACCCAACCCCCCCACCCCCCGTCTAAACAAACTATTGTTTATAGTACAGTTTGCTTTGCTATCCTTTGTTCAAACAAGCTTGAGTTTTTCTGGCACCAAAGCAAATTTGGGTTTGATTCATGTATGAAAAGACAACCTATGAGGAGGGTCCAAAAGGCACCCTCCACTTTTGCCTGAGGAGATGCAAAAGCAGAAGTAATGGGTCTGATTGGGGCCCAGAAGAGGTTCAGAGGATCCTTATGAAAGACTAGTTAAAAGATGACAAGGGGGGAGAGGTGCAAGGAGAGAAGGAAATTAGTCTTGACTGGCTTTCTGTCCTGCACCATTGATTCAATGGAGACTGGCGGGAGGGAATGGAAGACTAGGATTGAGGGTGAGATGTGGGACAAAGGATGGAAAGGAAAAGGCAGACCACTAATGCGTTTCATTTATAACAAGTAATATAAATCAAAGACTTAAAGGAGATTAAAGACCAATCGGAATAATTTGGCAACTTTAATTCTTAGGAAGATCAAAGTTCCCTCCAAACCTAATTTGATGTTTTATTACTAAAAGCAAAGACCAGTATGGTACAGTATTACTCCAGAGGAATTAAAGGAAGATCCTTAGGGCTGTTTCACCCACATTCATTTTATGAAAGGATACCTCCCTTACCTCAAAATGCTTTAGGGAGGTACTGCTACCATTACATGGTTCCTTATTAACTTTGAAAAGTGCCTGAAAGTTTGGGCACCAGAAAGACACCCCAACAACATGTGTCTAAACTGCAACTTCAGGTTAATATGACTAAAGCAGTTACATTGTGAGAAGTGCTGAAGGTATGTGATGTCTTTCTCGGCACAGAGGTGGCCTTGGTTCTTCACCAGATGGTGTAGCCACCATCTGTACCACCCATGAAGTAGTTTCCCTTCCGCTGAGTTACGAGGACATTGGCTCCCTGCATGACTGCAAGCTGAGCAGCATTGGGAGGGCATCCAGGGGGTGGAGGCTGAAAGGAAAAGATAAGATTGAGTGGGCACAAGGCAGCTGATACAAGGGAAGTGGACACAGCTGTAACAGGACCTGTTAGGAAGACGGCAATGTGCCAACAAATAGCATCTCAAGGAGCTGGTTCTGCCAATAATCTGGGCTCTAAAGCAGGTCTATGAACCCAAAGATACAAATAGGAAAGGCAGCCTACCACTTATTCAAAGGGTTCCAGCTCCAAGATAAAGCCTATGGATCCGTTCTAAATATGGGGAGACCAGACCCATAGGCATTTTCAGTAACTTCCTATCCACATTCCAAAAACAGGGACTGGGTGCCAGGTCCATGGCCCTATATCACCGAATCCCTCAATACTTTTCAAGTGTCCACGAGATAACCAAAAGGCTCCACCTAATGACACCATTCCCACCTGGTCTCTAACATATGGCGAGTAGACTGGCCTCAAGGCCTAGCAAGGACCATTTGAGCTCTAATTCCCATGCACAGGGGAACTAAGCAGGAAACATAACTAAAATCCCTATCATCTTTCTAAAAGCTACTTAATTATGCATTCTTTTTTAATCATTATAGTTCTTAATACAACGCCATGCTGATGGCAAATACTACGTAAATGCTATGGAATGAATAAGGAATGTCACTAGGCTAGTTCACTGTACCAAAGTGAACTGAAAAAGCAGCTGGCAGGACTCCTAAGACAGGAAAACAAAGGCATCTGGTTAACTCAGACCCGGTACCAGATGCTACTAACCTGCCACAGTTCTGCCCTCTCAACTGCTTTCTGCCTGACTAATGGATGTCCCTGGTTGCACTACTACCAGCAACTATTATCCAGGGATGGTAAAAGGATGAATATGTAGTCATTTCAGAAAGTTATAATACATGAGGGCTGAATTTTTTTCTGATAAGGTCATACTCACAGGAATGTTGCCAGCAGTAGCCCCAGCTCCAAATCTGGCACCTGTATCATACCCTCCTTCCACCAGCACTGTGGAGCCAGGTGGATAGATGGGGCCAACTGGATAATACGCCATGGGGACTGTGGAACCTAAAGGTCCCACAGCCACAGACTGGGCCATGGGAAGATACAGTGAGGCGCCAGGAAATGCAGCCGACATGGTGGGGACTGTGGCAGCCCCTGGGTGCACAAAGCTCGGACGATAGAGCTAGAAGAGGCAGAAGAGATGGCAAAATGTTACTTTATGGCATTCCTATTTCAGATTTCATTCCTGTTTCCTCTTTAATGAGTCAATCCTTAATCCTCTGTGCAGATTAAAATCTATGAGTTACACAAGTTACCTTTCCACTACCCCTCAGTATTCTCCTAAATCACTTCCTGCTATAGCTAATGTTAGGCTCAGGGAACGCAAACTCATCTTAACCTCAGCCTGTGCCAAATAACCTAAAGTACTCAAACAATGCATTCTGAACCCAAAACGGAAATTGAACTTTAGACTATTCGTGTGGGCACGCTCGTTTGTGAGCAGTAAATATGGAGTCAAACTTAGCTAAGGACTGAAGATGTGATATCCAAAAGTAGTCTCAACCAGTTCAAGTCTAGTAAAGTGGAAGCACCTCTGAGTAGGCAGGTGGAGCATCAGTATAGGGTGGAGCCTGAGGGAGATGCAAAGTCTGAGGGTACACGGGATTCCCAGGAGGCTGCACAGGGTAGGTTGGCTGCGTTGGATATTGACCTGGAAGACAAGGGGGGAAAATGCATGTTGCCTAGCATACAGAACCACTAAAATGGGGGAGGCATATTGGTTAGCTAACCTAGTGGGAGCAAGTTGAAGGGGATTTGCAAACAGACTGCCCTAGAGGGCCTGATTCCTGGAGCCAAGAAAATAAGCCTTCTCTTTGCACCCTTATCACTGAAGATGCTAGATTCTAACCGGACAGGAAAGGCGCTCTTTCCACTAGTGTACTGGTGTAAGGGGACTGACTAGCGGGGCCCAAGTTCCTTCCAGAATGCAGAACAGGTCTGAAACATGGGCAAGAACTGGTTTGTACCGATATTTCAAGGGTGCATTCTGCGCTCTGGGTAGTCTCCAAGAAGCCTGGATATAACTAGCCAAGACTTCATGAGTAATGTGGTTATGATCATTTACCTCACAGATTCCTACTCAAGGTCGACTTCAAATTAAAAGAACGAGTGAATGGTGGAAGTCAACCTTGAGACCGGACAGAGGGTGAAGGGGAAAGTTCTGACTTGAGAAGGTGAGGATCGTGTTTTGCCAGACATACTGGTACCACCACAGGATCCGGTAGAAGTTCTGGCCGCCAACGAAGGGAAGGGGCAAGCGACCCTTCAGGCCCTGGCCCGCCCACCAGCGCCCACACCTCTCTAGTTAAGCCCGTGGGTTTGCCTGTGGTTCCGGAGCGCGGCGCCCCGCCTCCGCCACCTCTCCATTGGCCTACCCAAATCCCTGCTCTAGCTCCCCATTTGTTCTTGCAGATGCTCATCATAACAAGCCTCCCTCCCCCACCCCCGAGTCCGCGGCTCCAAACTGCGCCACAGGGTTTAAGGGGGAAAGGGCCTGGAGGTAGCCAGCAGCCGTAGTTCGGCGATGACGAAGGCGTCTGGCGCAGCCGCCGGGACTGCGGCCGGCCGAGGAGCGCGGAGCGGCTCGCCCCAAGCTTGGCGCTGGGTGACCCTGGGCTCCAGGCCCGCTCGCTACGAGCCAGCACTACTCCCCCCGACGGTCTCAGCCGTCCCCTGTTCTTGCCTTTGCTGTTCATGGTGGCTGCGGGTCCGGTTCGGCTTGGCTTCGCGGACGGTTATTTTTTTCGTCCTCTTCCTGTTCGTAGTCACTTCCGTGTCACGTGACGATTCGTCCGCCCAGCGTCACCCGACGCCCGAGTGCCGCCGCCGCCGGAAACCCAGCCCCTTTGCCCAGCCTCCAGTAGCTAAAGGGAGGGCCCGCGTGGTCCCGCCCACTCGCGTTGGCCCAGCCCACTCGGTCATAGCCTCCAACCCCACCCCCACCCCACCCCTGTCCGTAGGCTGGAGAAAAACCAAATACGATCGTGTACAGGTATTGTCTCAAAACAGGTCCCTTTCTCTCTGTTGGGCGCTCGGAGGCAGAAGCGTTAAACTGTTTCCAGGAACCTTTTTCCACCTACACGCATCAGCTCAAGGTCACGTCACCTTGACATCCTTTCCACAAGGAGCATAGATTTCTGCAAACTTCTCTAACTGCCTGAAATGTTCTCCCCAAACCTTGATCTGTATCACTCGTCCCTCTCCTACCAAGTCCAACTTAAGCCTCAGCTCCGTACAGATTTATTTTGTGAGTCCAGCTCCTATCTATCGTTTTCTGAATTGGACCATCACTCGAATCTTCGCTGCCTATCGGTTCCACCGACAGACCGTCGGTATTTGCTTATGTGTAACTGTCTTTGTCACCAAAAGGAAGGGCACGCTGTGCTGTGCCCTCCACAACAGCTAGCACTAGAACTGGTATATTCGGGGTACCCAAGGAGTGCCTGCCTGTGGCCCTGCCCTTCTTTTGGCAACTGTTATAGATGACCTGTGCCGTGTGCCTTGTGTTTATTTTCTTTGTTTATGGCTTCGCCTCTAACTTAATTGTTCTTAAGGGCAAAGATACCATCCTTGAAGGCAGCAGTTAAGTTTTTCCTTCCATCCTTCATTTTAAAGCATCTGCTGAGCGCTTGCTATGTGCAAGTACAGCAATGAACCTAACCCTAACAGCCCAACGTTATTTTTTCATGGAGTTTAC